ATAATGAGTTCTAAAATTTGCATATTTGAAAAGACAAGAAAAGTCTGAAATTTTAATCCCACATCAAACTGTAGGGTCACCTACCAGCTCACAGTCTATTATATACTAGGCTTTGCTGCTGTGTTGCAACTTGTATCCCGTTGGCTCTAGATATTCTGCTGGCATCTAGGGAACTTAGCCTTGAGAGTGAACTGCCTGTCAGGAGACAAACGATTGTACATTTGTAACATGAATAAAAGATGCCTTACTTGAAACAACTCTGGAATTGTCCAGAATGTAAGAATGCAGTTTGTCTCTCATGTATGGAATTAAATCCTTATAAGGAAGAAAGACATCCTTTGAGAAAGGAGGTGCTGTAGTAATGTCAACATCTGGGCATTTACTGTATGAGGAAAATCAACTTATGTAACAAATGCTATTAAAAATTTTATCTCTGGGCTTTCTGTTTTGTTCCATTGATCTATATTTCTGTCTTTGTGCCAGTACCATACTGTCCTNGGAGGAAGAACTGGATAAGGGTGTTCAAAAGGTACAAGCTTCTAGTTACAAGAAAAAACAAGTATTAGAGATGTAATGTACAACATGATAAATAAAATTAATACTATTGTGTGTATACCATTACATGGAAGTTGTTAAGAAAGTAAATCCTAAGAATTCTCGTCAAAAGGAAAAATTATTTTTCTTTTTCTTTTTGCATCTATGTGACATAATAGATTGTCACTAAACTTATTGTGGCAATCATTTCATGATTTTTGTAAGCCAGACCATTTATGCTATATAAATCATTATATCAGTTTTTATAGTGCTACATGCAATTATTAATTAATAAAACTGGAAGAAAAAATGAATTATTTAGAACTGGAAAAAATAGCATTGAAATGAGAGCTGGAAGCAAAAGTTGCCAAGGTCATGTTATGGCACAGAAAAACAGTGCTGTGTCCTTCAGATCAACTGGGCAAACATAAGCAGGTGAGCCATGTCTAGTAACATGGGGAAATGGAGGGTTTCTGGATTTTTTTGTAAAGAAACAAAAATATACTGACTGCACATTCAAGTAGGGATGATGAAAAAAATTTTAAGTGTTAAATTTGTTAGTTTTAAATAAATAAATAACACATAAATTTATACAATAGCAAGGAATATACAGTGAAGAGTAGTTCTCCCTCACTTCTGCTCCTCAAGCATCAATTTCCATACTAAAGCAACCATTGTCGGCAGTTTCTTGCATATTTTTCAGAAATATTCTCTTTATATACAGGCATTATGTACAAAATCCTTATTAAATTGGTAATGTACAATAACATGGGTCTGTACCATTCTTCTTTTGCTTAAAACAATCCCAGAAATAATTTCTTATCAGTATTTTGTTGATTTTTATGCCATACAACATTCTAATGTGTGGATATAATAGAACTTATTTAACCAGTTACCTTTGGTGATATTTTTTAGATCATTCTCAGTTTTTGCTCTTACAAATAGTACTGCAACTAGGATTATTGGCCATATAATGTCAAGCATATGGAATATATGTATTCTTAGGTTTTCATGTAAGTAATCAATGTATGTACAATTCTTTATTCTGCTTTTTTCAGTCAGCATAGTCAGAAGAATTTGGTGTTCTCAGTCATCCTCATTATCACTTCATGACTGCATACAAGTAATTGCCATAAATAATTTAATAATATCTGCATTGGGGTACATTAGTTTGTTCCTATTTTCCCATATTTACTACTGCAGTGAAAAACTTTGTGCACATTTTAATCTCTTGGAATTTCATGGGGAAAAGTTTCTTTTTTCTTTCAAACAGTAAAGAGCTTTTTGACTCATTTTGACTTTCTGATTCAAAGTTATGTTCAAGGGAACTAATAGCATTATGGAAACACTTATTTAGGAATCTTATGAGAAATGTCTATTTTGAACTCTTTTAAAATATAAACTCTTTTTCAGTATTTTAAAGATATAATTTTGAATGAATATATACCCCAGTTAATAGATAGCCATCAACATAGCCATCAACATAGCCATCAGCATAGGGAGGCTGGCTGGTTGGTCTGCAGGGTACAGTTCTTGCCTTGGTGTAAGAGTTACCAGGTTCAGGACCCAGATGAGCCCTTTTTCTGGAATTCCCAGGTGGTACTAGTGGTAAAGAACCCGCTTGCTAATGCAGGAGACTAAGAGACAAAGGTTTGATCCCTGGGTTGGAGAGATCCCCTGGAGAAGGGCACAGCAACCCGCTTCAGTATTCTTGCCTGGAGAATCCCATGGACAGAGGAGTCTGGAAGGTTACAGTCCACAGGGTCACAAAGAATTGGACATGACTGAAGCGACTTAGCACATATCAACATAAGTCCAAGGGAATAATTTCTTTTGCCTTGTTAATTTTCAAAACACGTAAATTAGGCCTTGAGGAGGATGTGTGCAACAGTGTTCATTCTTTATAGCCATGTATTTCTTGAGAAACTACTATGTGCCAGACCCCGTGATGGCTACCAAGGCTATGACAATGATGTGATCGGCATGGCTCACTTCCTAACAGCATCTCTAAAAGCCTAATCTAAGATGCTTTGATCTTGACATTGTGTTACAACACATTCTTGTCCTCCAACATTTCCAATTTCTTTGTTCTTTTTCTTTTAGAGCATCTAACTCATTCCTTAATATCAACCCAACATGTGAAGAGTAGACAATATCTTATGCTCAAAAAGATACATATATATCTTAGAATACACATATATGCATACATATGTATTATATATAGCTTAAGAATCTCTGAAATCATATTTCTCCCTCCCTTTCTGAGATTTAAGGAGCACTTTAGGATGAAAATATCTTTCTCTGTAGTTTGAGGGCTCTCTAAATAATCTTATCCTCATTGTCTATATTATGTGCCAGACCCCGTGATGGCTACCAAGGCTATGACAATGATGTGATCGGCATGGCTCACTTCCTAACAGCATCTCTAAAAGCCTAATCTAAGACGCTTTGATCTTGACATTGTGTTACAACACATTCTTGTCCTCCAACATTTCCAATTTCTTTGTTCTTTTTCTGTTAGAGCATCTAACTCATTCCTTAATATCAGCCCAACATGTGAAGAGTAGACAATATCTTATGCTCAAAAAGATACATATAAATCTTAGAATACACATATATGCATACATATGTATTATATATAGTTTAAGAATCTCTGAAATCATATTTCTCCCTTTCTGAGATTTAAGGAGCACTTTAGGATGAAAATATCTTTCTCTGTAGTTTGAGGGCTCTCTAAATAATCTTATCCTCATTGTCTATATTTCAGATTGCCTCTAAATACATTTATCTTTTCAGCAATTTAGCCTAAATAAACCAAGTGCAGGGACTTTGGTCCCTCTGTTACAGGAACATCTTAATGTGAAAATAAAATGTATATTTAGGCTGCACACCACGATTGATTAACACAGTGCCTGATAACTGCAATTTTCATGGGTAGAGATAACCATTTTGGTCCCTTTTAGAGAGTCAGATACAAAGAATCCTTATGTAAAATTGCACCTCAAAATTGCATTTTAACTTTTTACGAAATTCTTCCATCCAAGACCTACTAATTTCTTGATAAATATAACTTTTATTATCATAATGTATTTTATTCGGACGTGGGGTGTCTTTTCAGGGCTGCTCCAGCAAAGCGCAGCCGCTGCTCCTTGTTTCAAAAGCTTTGCAGTGCAGAATTTTTACTTCACTGATGCTTAAATATTTCAATGGAGAAAATAATTAATTAGTAAATATTACATCAGTTTAATGGCTTAACAAGCAGATCAAACTCTTCATTGACCAAGTGAATGTTTCACTTTCAAAGATACTGTCATATCATTTTAAGGAATCTTATGTTAGTTAATATGCATCTAAATTTTACTAAATTCTCTATATGTACATTTGTGTATATCTACACATTTCTATGGGCTTCCTTGGTTGCTCAGAGGGTAAAGAATTTGCCTGCTACGCAGAAAACCCAGGTTCGATCCCTGGGTCAGGAAGATACCTTGCAGAAGGGAATGGCTACCCACTCCAAGTGTTTTTGCCTGGATAACTGCATAGACAGAGGAGTCTGGTGGGCTACAATCCATGGGGTCTCAAAGAGTTGGACATGACTTAGCAACTATCACACACACACACACACACACACACACATACACACACACACTTCTGTATAATTCCATAGGCTGACTTTTAGATGGGAAAGTGTGTATTAGGATGTAATGATAACTATCTCTGAATCTAAAGTTGTATAAGTTATTCTTAGCAGAGATACCCGAATTAGTTTCTCATTATTTTGCCCAAATAGAATTTGCACTTTAATGTGAGGATACGTTCCAGTAATAGGAATTTATAGACTACTCTTCTTGATGAAAAACAGAAGAGTGGAGACTTCTTAAATTCAGCATACCCCTTCCATGAGTTTACTTAAAGCTATTTAGCCATTAAACTGGCTCTTCCTGCTAACAACCTGATCATAAGACATTACCAAGGTAGCCCAAAGGTGGAAAAGTAAAGACAAAGGCATCTGAAAATGGAAATATGGTAGATTTAAAAAAATTTTCTCCTTATTCTAATATTCCATATCCTTAATATTGAGGTTGGAGTCCTTATTGCAACTTTGCACATACCCTGCTGTTTGAACTAAAAACCCCAGGAACTACCTGTCTGAGATCTGAATGTATTCTTGGTCCCAAATCAATCTTGTCACTTCTCAGGAAAGCAACAGAAGATAATAAGTAGTATTCACCTGATTGCTTTCCTGCTCCGAGACAGCTGGTGACGCGTGTCTTCCTGATAACCAGGAGTTTCAGATCTGAGGCAGGGATAAAGAGAAGCTCGGAGCTGGCAGAATCTAAATTTGACAGTCGATGGCTGAGGAGAGGGTCAGAAGGGATGGAATCTGTGACACGTATGAGAAAGGAACAAAATTTATCTGCTCTGGTTGCAATGATTAGATGTCTCTTTGTCTGGCTCTCCTACAGCGGTTGACTGATTGTACCTGCCAGCTGGCTAATATCATAATTAACAAAGTTGCTACTACGTCTGCAAAGTTTAATCGAAAAATTTGCCAGTGATATGATGGCATTGTCACAAAGATCACAAGGGACTCAGAGTCGACTTTCGCTCAAGGTGGAATGACAGAGCTGTGGAGGCAAAATGAGAAATCTTGAACTTGTTCAGCCAAAGGTAGGTTTCTTTCATAATCCAACATCCTAGGCTCTCTTATTAAGATTTTTATTTGATGGTTAGTGGGCTTTTTTTGGTTGTGAGACTAGGACGATTCAGAAAAAGATCCATATGCTTCTTGAGCACTTACAGCACATTCTCAGAAAGCTTTGAGTTTTTTCCAAATATAGAAATTCAAAAATATAATGAAATAGGTTTTGATGCTGAGAATGGAATATAAAGCAATATGTTTGCCTTTTATTGTATCTAGCCAATCTTTATCAGTTTACAGAAGTACCGTTCGGTAACCAATATCAATTGAACAATTATATTGTGTAGCACTTGGATTTATTTTGTTCAGCAACGTAAAAGCTATTACTCCCCTTTATTCTACGGTGTCAACCTAGTTATAAGAGTGAATAAAAGCAATCGTAGTTATAGAATGTGTAGAAGTTCTATTTCAGTTTCCAGAAATGCTCAAAGTGGAGGGGGAGGATTTCTAAGGTCTTAAGTCAAGCAAGAGATTGGGGCTTTTTCTTTGTAACACTCAGAAAAACCACTGCTTTTTGAGATCATGCGCTATTCCTCAATGCCAGTCTGGCCATTGACTATTGTACCTGTATTTTCTTTTTACCATGATTTGCTTTGCTTTATTGAATATTCATGCTCTGGGGAGTTTCCCAAATGATAGCCTTCACATATTGCTAATTAATGAATGTGAATATTGATGAGAAGGGGCGTGTGCCTCTGTGTCTATGATTGTGTGCTTCCTCTGAGTACAAAGAGAGAGGAAAGTATCTCAAAAAATCATGCGCGAGGCAAAGTTTGGGTTATTTATGCTGTGTCACAGCCCCGCTGTAATTCCAAGGCAGTCAGTTTGCAGTGTAATTGGGAGCAAATGTTAAGGGTCTTCTACTTTCCCTCCATGGTCATCTAGGCACTATGTCATGGCAGAAAAAAGCGCAATAATTTTTTTTTTTTTTTGTCCATTGCTATTTATCTTTGGTGTTAATAGCAGTTTTAAAACATCATGAAATAACATTTCAGAAACAAATGAATGCACAGCACGTATATTTTTTAATAAGTCCATAAACTTTCTTGTGGTTTTATTCCTAGCCCTAGGAGACTAGACATTCTGAATATGCTCATTTTTAAAACTTGACAGATTTCATATTCTCAAATATAAAAAATGAATCTTTTTTATGGGATTATAAATTGTAAAGCCTTTAGGAGTCTGGATAGTTTACAAAACTGTTTATTGAAATTTTGGTTAAATTTTTACTTAATGCATTTCCAGTCTTCACTAAAATTTAATGACGTTGATAAGAAAAGCTAGAAGTGGTGTTTTAAATCACGATTTTATTATATTCTGGACATTGTTTTTGGACGAGACTGTTATTCTCCTGATACAGTCTCTCTTTTTTTTTTCTTTGACTTCACTCTCTCCCTTGGTAGTATGTGGCACGTAATAGGCACTCGATGCATTTTTATCGAGTGAATGAATTAATGAATTTGAGTCTTTCTATTGCTATTCAAATATTGTTAGCATCTGCTGCCTCCAAATCGATAACTTTTGAGTGTGGTCAACATTATGGACAGAAACAAGTAGATGAATGACACAGTCACAGACAATGGGGAGGATTAAGTTCCTAAAATAATATAATGTTGTTTTAACTTAAACCTCCATAATATTTTGTGTAATTGAGATTTGCTATTGTAGAAGCTCGGTTGGAGGAGCAAAGGTCTATGAGGATTAGAAAGGGCCAGGAAAGCGGTTCACAGCTGATGCACCCGTTCTTTTAAACAGGATTATCTCCTGAGATGTGTAGAAATGAACTCTTGTCAGAGTTTCAAAGGAATTAATATTTTTGGTAAAATGTGCTAATGTAAAGCGTTAGAAGATTAGTGATGCGTAATGAAAGCAATGCATTCTTTCACATGGAAATAGGAATATAATAGATGTCCTGCAGGTGATTGGGGCTGTAGCAATTTTATTCAAGATTAAAGTTTGATTGACCTTTGTTAGGGTGATTAACCCTTCTGAAATTAAAAGCCAGAGCGGAATTATGCCGGCCCATTTAAATGCAAACATTGAGCAGGTCGTATGTCATTCAAATAATAATAATAAAACACCCTCCTATTTTAATTTTCATTTTTGCACATCTGAATGAGATGCTGCTTTGGAAGGATTATAGTTCAGGCAAAAGCATGCTGGTGGCAGAGCATACAGAATAACATACAGATAATTGGGGGCACGTGGGAAGAGTCCTAGGTTTTACCCTCTCCCCATTCAAAGCATCAAAACCACCACCCCAACAAAAGCAGGGAGCCTGAAGACAGTCTTCACACACTTAGAATGTGTGTTCTCAATAGAAAAAGAATATAGAAATAGCTGGAAAAGGGTTGGAATAAGTAACAGTGACATCTCTATTCTTACCCAGTGCTAACCACTAAACTGTGTATTAGATTCTTATTAAATTCATATGACACCTCCTGAAAAATGGGGGCTTTGGGGTATGGTTGCTTATGAAGCTGTTCACAAAAGTTGATTGTTTCCGATAACTGGAGTTTTATTCCCCATGGTCTCTCATAGTCTATGGATAGCGTAGGTCTTTTCAAAAACGTTGTATGAGAAGCAAACTAGTTCTTTACAAAGCTTTTCAATGGCTTGGTTTTATTTCTCTTTGTTAAATTTTCTTGAAGCCTTGTGAAAACTTGCGTATTCACGTTGCTTCAAAAAACTGATTCCATTTTTCATACTATATTAAATATTTTTATCCCTAAGTCAGTGAATATTTTTAGTTTTAGTTTCTACCACATGATGAACGCATCTTCCTTTTATGTATCTGTGGACTATTAAAATGATAATAAATGTTCTCTTCCTTCCATATGTAATTTATTTCTCTCTATTCATCAAAGAAGTTAGTCTGAATGTTTCAAGGTAGAAAAGTCCAAGGTATTATAGTGTAAAAATTGAGAAGCCCGAGGTACTATACTTTATTTTATATAAGCTTTTCATGTGCTCTTTTAACGTCCTTCATATTGATAGGCTTCTACTCCAGGCCTATGAAGAAAGTCAAAGATGAAAAACTTGTGATAGACTGACTGAGATTATTCAGCTAACAAAGTGGCTCTCACATGTTCCAGAGAATGGGATAATACCACACAGCACAGACTAATAACATGCTTAACTAAGATCTGTTTGCTATAAGGATAATTTCCTAATTCTTAATCATGGGGTTAGTATTCAACTATAAATGGTAAACAAATACTTTCTGTACCTTGCCTGATAAAGTGTAGATTATCAGCTTTAGTTTTAGTGCATTGAATTGTCAAACTTAAAAAAATATCCAGCTGTTCCCTGATAATATTTTCACTAAAAAAAAATAAACCCCACCGCTAAATCAAATCCCTAAAATAAACACTACTAATTCTTCAGACATACCAACAGTCTTCTCTAATTTGATTATTCTTGTTTCACCTCTTACCAGAACTGAATGAAGATAATTTGGGGCATTCTGATTTATTGTAAACACACCATTTTCTAAACATAAAGAGCTAATGTGCCAGACTACTGATAACATCTTCTCTGTGTTGCCGTTAATTGTCAGCAGTCTTTTCCATAACACAAAATCATAGATCAGAGAAGAGAAATTCATATCATCTTAGGGTAGAAAAAAGAATTGGTGAAAGAGCAAAGACAAATAAGATTATATTTTGTTAAATCCCAAATCCAATCATTTGTTTTGCTTCAGTGTGTTTAGAAGATGTTTTTATTTCTTTGTTGCCTTTGTTTGTGACAATCCGTTCCCTTCTAATCCGTCCAGTCCCAGACCTGACATTTTCACTTTTAGTTGTGAAATAATACTCTTTGCCATTAACAGGCTGAAATTAATTCATTTGACATTTTCATGGGACACATATTCTAGTTGGAGTCCTGTTCAATAAAACATGCAGTTTAAAAAGTGACCAATGGTATTATTTTATACATCCTGTATTATTTGTCAGTCAGCAATTTAATTTCACAAAAATTTAGAGTAGGGTCACCGTGAGCAATTTTATTATTCTGGGCTGGAGAGGGAGAACAAGTAGCAAACTTGAGGATTTTCAGGGTTTTAAAAATCAATAATAGTGAAAAAATAAGTCACACGAATTTTTCAAGATGTTATTCTCTTTAACAGACACTCATTCTGGAAAAAAAAAAAAAAAAGTGGGTTATGTCAGTCCAGTGAATTATTTTTTGTAATTTGTTTGACAAAATAATATGCTCTCAGACAATAAATGCTCTGATGTTGACTTTACAGCTAATTGGGAAGGTTAATTCCCTAGCTTTAGTTTTCAAGCGAATTGGAAGGTGCCCTAATACAGTGCAATGGCCTGCGGCCTATTGATGCATTACCTGCTATCTGTATTAAAATGATCACACCATAATCCCTTGAAAGCTGGAGAACTGCTTAATATAATAACTGACTAAAATGCCTTTAGCATTTCTGGAGCCATCACTGTCTGACCTTTATTCCATTTCAACATTTACTGAGCACCTCCTATGTTCCAGGTACCCCCTTCAACCAAGGGAGGTGGATCTATGAGCCACATTTTATGAACCAGAAACCGAGACTCAAGGGTGGAGAGTGATTTGCTTAACGTCACACAGCAAGTCAATGGCACAGCCTGGGTTGGAAGCCAGTGCCATATTTCAAGGTCTTTGAGACCGGAGCTGCCCTTGCATAGTAGTCTTCCACTTTGCCAAAACTTGCTTATTGTGGGGACAGGAATGTTTAGCACTTTCCCCAGATGAAGGAATTTCCTAAATCACAGGATCTTCAATGAAAGGATGAATTCTCTCCTGATTCACTCCCAAGGAAGGAAGAGAAGAGGTGCTTTAGAACAGTTCAGATTATTCCAGGTGATGAACGTCACTTATTGGCTCATTTCATGGAGACCAGAAATTGTCCTCTGCAAATATTGGCCATTTAGTTCAGAAAAAAAAAAAACCCAACTTTTAGGCTCTTTTAAAAAAT